ACAGTGCCCTTCTAAAGGCAAGAGAATCAAATGCAGGCATTAGCTGTGTTCAAGGTGAAGTTTTGTTACCAAAAAGTAATCTTTAAATTAATAAATCCAGTAGTTCATACTTCCTGCAGTGTTCACAAAGGTCCCCTCCTGGGTTAGGCCTTCACACATGGAGAACACCATGCTGGTTTTTTGCTTAATCTCACCGTATAGCAATCTTGCCTGCAATGCATTCTTACTCTATTGCTATTGCTTACTGTTCTTACTATTGCTTGATAGTAACAGTAAAAACATCTTTTTCATATGATGGGGGTTTTGGATGAAGAGGCCTGAAGCCTGTTTTACATGTTAGTCACGAATGATTCATCTGCTGAGGAAGAGGAAGGCGTGCCTGAGGAGGAGATGGCTGCCCTGGGTCAGCCCGCAGTGTGGCCACGTTTCCCCGGCTGGGGCGGCTGCCTCAGGAAGGACACAGGGCTGCCCTTCCAGCAGCTTCTGGCTCTTGGCCTTCCTGAGTCAAAGGCGGTTTTGTGGGAGCCACCAGTAGGCTTTTGTGCCGTGACTTCTACTGATCCTTACTTGAGTCTAGGTGTGCTTCCCTCCTCTGTAGTGTCCTGGAAGGAAAAAAAAAAAAAAGGCATCTTGCAGAAAGAAATTACTTTTATGTAGTGTTTTTCTGAACTTGACTCAATTTGTGTAGGGTGTGGCAGTGAACAAACACTTCCCATTCATTCTTCTGTTCCTCTCAAGATTTTATAGATCTCTGCTGACTGTTTTCCTGACTGAGGAATGCTGGCATGTTCAGAAGCTTCCCATATGGAAGGCATTTCATGGTTTTAGTCACCCTCACTGCTGGGTGACTGATTTTCCCTGAGACTCCTTTTAGCACTTAGCCATATTCAGCTTTGTGTTTGCTGTATGGCAGAAATGCTTCAGCTTTTCTTTTGTTAAATTAAGCAATTCCCAGTTAAAAATAGAATTTCTTTGTATTTTGTTTGGATTGTGGTGTGTTTAATAAGGAGCAATTAAAAGATAAAAACATCCTGACTAGTGTTTGCTAATTGTTTGTTGTTACTTAGTTAATACACTCGTAAGGTTTGTCACTGTAGCCTGTGGAGGTGGTCAGTCCTCTGCATACCCACTAACAGAACATTGCGAATCTAGAAATAGTGTCTCATCTTCTTATCATCAAGTATTTATGCTTGGATGATGATGAATAACCTAGTAGTGGTAGACCACAGAGTACCAAGTGATTACTGCAGAAAAAAGAAAAATAGATTTAGTATATGCGAGTGTGTGTTGCATAACGCATGTCATTACATCCAACATTTTAGGAAATTAAGAAGAGTAATAACTCGAAATAATGCGGCTGTTGAATAGTTTATGGTATGATAGTTTTTTTTGGCAATTACATTTCTGAAAAGGGAGCGGAGGTTAGCATGCCTATTCGTTACTCACAACTTTCCTAATGTCTGAATTGTTCATGTCGAAGATGTGTAAAAGCCCACTTCAGTGAAAAACAAAGTCACATTTTAAGAAGTTCTATACTATAGAAGGAAATCTAGGCTGAATGAAGTATATATTCATGTCATACTTCACATAGGAAGATACTGTTGCAACATAGATAGCATCTTATCTTTCCAAATGAAGGACTAAGAAATAGAAAAACTGGAGATCTCTTGCGGATTTATGCCTCAACTCAATATTGTGAATTGTGTCAAGGCAGAAGAGCAAGCATCAGTGATGCTAGGATGAGCCACTGAACCTGTAGGCAGAATTTAAGCAGCCAAAGCAGTGCTGAAGGCTTGATCTTCACCTATACCTCAGAAATGGAACAGTGAACATAAACAAACAACAGTGTCCCTTGCTAAACAAAAGCAAGCAGATGGCAAAAGAAGCCAGTGATACAGAATTAGCAGTCAGGCTGGTGTCTCAGAGCAGCATTTCTTTCCATCGCCTTCTTCACACAGTAGCATTTAATTGCTTTAAAAGGTACAAGCAAAGCTAAAAGAACAAAGGTCTTTCTCAGTTTAAATCAGTGTTTTGTTACTTGCAGATAAAACCATAAATCACCTCAGAAGGAAATAAAGTTATGTCCTTCCTTCCTGATGTGCACAAAGGAAAATAGGAAAATGCTCCTGAATTCTAGGATCCTGAGTGCACACAGATTGTAGATAGGAAAAAATAACCCTTTTCAAACCCAAATCAGATACAGGAGCTTGAGAAAGATGGAGAAGTGGCCCTGTTTTGCTAATTGGTTTCCTTAGAAATAAATTCCTTCTTCTTGGAGGGAAATTCTTGGTATTCCTTGACAGTTGCTTCAACATGATTGACAAAATGTATAATGCTTCCAATTCCTTTCAAAGCATTGCTTTTATTCTGTAAATAAGTAGCTCTAGTAGTTGTTTGCTTAAAGAACAAAATCAGCGCAGTTTCAGTCGATTTTTTTTAATTATTACCTGCACCACATTGCCTCAGTCTACCCTTCAGTTACTGATTTTGCTGCATTTGTGTCCTTTTACCTGTGACCAAATTAATAAAACTAAAACTTAATCCAAATGATGTAAAATGATGGTACCATCCAAAACTGTGGATATAAGCACTAGACAGTGTTTGAGATATATTATTGTAAGTGCAGGCTCTTTTACTGTGTTTTATTTAACTTCTTTTTTATTTGTAATCTTTCAGTACTTTATATGATATGTGATCAGGGCATACAAAATGGAATTGTTCTCATTTAATGGGGTTGCAAGGTTTGTAATGCAGAGCCTTTCACAGAGATTTGTTTATAAGAGGATGGAAGCTTTCTGCCAACATGGGCAATTGGTTTGCTGACCGCTTGAGACCAGACTGGTAGAAACACATTATCTAAGGTGTAGGGAGATGAATGGTGGTCTGAGGATGCACTGTACCTCCTTTTCTCTATGTCCGTTTGTTTTTCTCACGTTGTACAACATGGAGACACCTGTTAGGAACAGAAGAGGAATGATAAAGGCAAAATAAGGTAGAATTTATGGAAGCAGGAGCACATGGAAGTATGTTTGTTCTTTGCCTTATGAATGGCTCCCTTCTCTTGCTTCCGTTCTGTCCTAAACTTTACACAGTTAATGATTAGACGTATTTATGTACCTTGGGTGGGTTTCTCTCCATAACGTATTGTCTTGTATAACCACTGTATTTCATTAATAAATTAGTTCCAAGTGCTCTTTTTTAAATCTGGCCATTTACTGAAATAATGGAAGAATGTTATTTTCTGAAAGAAATATCAGGCAGATAAATTTGGTAAGCATGCAACTTCCAGTAATGTCCTTTAAAGCAAAAGCACAATAGCAGCTGCTGTGCAGGCGGTGCATGCTGCCAGTGGAATTTATTTCTGATCAACTGTGTACTCTTCTACTCCAAATGCTCTTTCTTGAATAATCGCAGTGTGTAAAAAGAAAGAAAAAGTAGTGGTGGGCAATGGTGAGAAGAATGAATAGAGGAGTATGGATAGACGTAAATACATTTTTTATTTGTGACCAAAGAAGTACTTGATTCTAAGTTTTAGGAGATTAAAAATTAACTAACTGCAAGGTTTTTTTCCAGTTGTAGTTATTTGAATGAGAAAGTAGTGTAAATTTGGTGGTTTTTTTAGACAACTTAGATCTGAAGGATAAATTTGTATGCAAGTTGTAGTAGCTCGGGTGTCACATATACTTCAAGATGTTTTGCAAGTATATAATTTTGCAGTTATGTATTTTTATTCTACATGAAGTTTGAGTATAAAAATAACATAGGAGCAGTACCTGAGATGTTGGAGAAGGTTTTCTTGATTATTTGACAAACAAGGATGCTGCAACTCTGGATACCATTTTTAAGTGTACCAAAAATACCAGACCAAGCTGCCCAGAGCCACATCCAGCCTGGTGTTGAACGCCTCCAGGGATGGAGCACCCACAGCCTCCTTGGGCAACCTGTTCCAGTGCGTCACCTCCCTCTGTGTGTAAAACTTCCTCCTAATATCTCACCTAAACCTCCCCTGTCTCAGTTTAAAACCATCCCCCTTGTCCAGTCACTATCCACCCTTGTAAACAGCCATTCCCCCTCCTGTTTATACGCTCCCTTCAAGTACTGGAAGGCCGCAATGAGGTCTCCCCAAAGCCTTCTCTATAAACATAATAGGATATAAAATGCTTCAAATAACAACGTCCATTTTCCTATTTTTTTAGAACTGTAGATGAAAGACACCTAGAAAACTACTTCTTGGTTGGTGTCAGTCTGGTTGTTGTTTTTGTTTTTTTTTTCTCCTCCATTTAGCATGTGCACAAGAGTGCTGTATGTGCTCTTGAACTAAATCGGAAGATTAATTTTTCTCTTTCTTACTAATAGCAGTTTTTTGCATATTGTGTACTGACACAGCTTTTTGTAGTCCCAACAGCAGCTACGGATAGGGAAAAGTGTGTTAAGTTGCCTGGTTTATTTTGGCATCATTAGAAAATGGCTTCTTAATAGGTATTAATGATATTTTTTCTCATTCAGCTAGCAGGAAAGAGATTTTAAATAACTCAATTTTCTCGGTGTCTTTTAAAAAAAATATTTCTTCTCAGTCATGCTGAGAACATAGGTCTCAGATCTCAGTTGCTTATCAGTAATTCAAAATTCTGGTCTCTATCAGGAGCAAGCTGCCAAGGGAGGTGGCAGAGTCACCAGAAAAGGGTAAATGTGACACGGAGGGGCATGGTTTAGTGAACATGATGGTGATGGGTTGGTGGTTGGACCAATCTATCTTATCTTAGCGGTCTTATCCAACCTTTATGATTCTTGTACTTTCTGTGTCTTGTTCTTGTGAATAAGTCCAAATTCACTGGAAACTTGCTTTTGTTGCAAGCAGGTGCCCTCCTGGGACATCACAAGATGATGGTAAAGATACCAGTGAGGACATGAGATTTCCCAAGGTGTTTTCCCTCTCCTCTGGACAGCCAGGCTACCTGCTGGCCAGACTCTTCACTAAGCATCTTCTCTTTCACCTCCAGGCCAGAGCCTCAGCAGAAAGCTCCCTCAGCACCTCCACCCCCACCGCCACCCCCACCTCCACCCCTGCCGGAGCCAACCCCACCAGAGCCAGAGGAGGAGATCCTCGGGTCTGACGATGAGGAGCAGGAGGATCCCGCGGATTATTGTAAAGGTGGGTGCAGTCCTGTGCTGACTGCTGGGGTAATGGGCATCATGCACATTTTCCACACGATTCTGAGGGAGGTTTTTAAGGACCTGGTCATTGTTTATGGAACTTACACAGAAGTTGTGAAAAACTATTTGCATAACTGTCTTCAGCTCAACTTTTTCACTAGCCATAGCTTTTGCATGCATTTTGCAATTAAAAGATACGTAAGGTACTGTATGTCTGTTCTAGTTATAAGAATAAACTTTCCTTGATTGATATTGATTGTAAGAGAAACAAATATCCTAACTAAAATATGTTTGTATTACTCTAATACACTATGCATTCTAAAATACCTCAATGCATTTGACATCAACTAAATATGTATTTGAATCTATATCTTCTCTTTCTCATACCTGCACAAGCGTATGATACATGCTTCTTTTTGTACATTGTCTTTCATAGATCTCAGCATTGTTCGATGTTCTCTGCATTTTTATTTTAGTTTGTGATTTCTTTAGCTTTTGTAGTTACCTATGTCGTTGTTAATACAGATTTTAATGTAAGAGTAACAGGTGAATGCAGGTAGCTTTTTGCATAAAAACAGGACTGCAGTACAAGAGTTCAATATTTTAGTTTGGTTCAGTGTTACACCTAATGCTCCAAGTCTGTTCCCATTAGGATAAAGTATACAGTGTATTCAAGAATCATCATAGGTAAGAGATCTGTCAAAATTTACTTACTGTCTTGAATTAATTTTTTAGTACAGCCAAAAGACACTGATGTACACTGACTTAATCTGTTATTCCACGTTCTTCAAATCAAGAAATATTTTCTATCAAATATGATGCTGTCTTAACTCTGAAAGTTCTCTGTAAGCCTGCAGATGTGCCATTTTAGGAATCCTTTCTCCCAGCTTGGAATAAGCTGTTCTGTATTTCCATATCAATAATTGGAAGTGACATTTTCTTCTCAGTGTGGGAAGTAAAAGTAATACGTGATATTTCAAGTGTTGAAGTGGGTTACAAATTTCAATAGTGAAAACCAAATGGTAAACTCAAGTTAGATTTTGAAGTCTGCAGCAAAGGAAAGAAAAACTCATAGGGAAAACATGTTTGTATTAAATTTTCTGTTGCAACATGCTTATTCCTTATGATAACTCTTGGTACCTGTAACATCTTTCATCAGTAAGGATGGATTTGATGTTTAAACATCTGCATCTACTTGAGATTAAGCATTTCTAGGCCCTGCTTAATTCTTCCCTGAACTAAGGACTGCATTTAATTTCAGACAATCCATTATTGTCTGTATTCCATTATCTTTTGCAAAATATCACCATCTGGAGTGGCTAGATCACAAAAAGAAGAAAGAAACAAATAAAATCTAGATGTATAGTTTGCTTGTAAGTCACCTGTTCTAGAGTCCCTGTAACTCCAGTCAGTTGTCAGTAAAGTGCATGCCATGTTAAGAATACTTGCGGGTTTCTTCAGAAATTAAAGGGAGCTTCCATACACTGGAAGGCCATTCTGCATTCCTATAATCTCGAAGTTCTGAACTGATAGAAGTACATTGAAGATGGTTCTCAAACTCTGGCTCACTCTGATGTCATAATCATTTGTTTCTGTGAGAACAGCATTTGCTGCTCCAGTGCGTGTTTTCTCAAGCTGTAACTTCCAGTAAGATTGATCAGAATGCTTCCTTTTTTAAATGTTGCTAAGGTTGAGCTGTGGAAGGCCACCATGTTATGTAAGAATCTGAATGGAATAGCTGGATTAGGAAGGTCTGGAACCATATAGATTTTGTTTAATTTATCTGAGGACCAAATAAGTTATTTAGTAAAGAATTGCAGGGATGGCTTTTAGAAGTATTATTTCCAAATTTCTTTGAAAGATGTTTTATTCATTTGAGTATGTTTTACTGTCCTGGGTAATGTTTATGAAGTAAGAGATAAGTATTTGGAAACCATCATAGTTTACTGAAGTCTCTCTTTTCTTTCTAATTTGATTTCCCAAGTAGCAATCTCCCAGGATTTTTGAGTGAGACGCAGAGCATACTTCATCTATTCTCAACCCCAGTCTGAAATTTCGTAGGAGGGCAATTTTGTTGAGGGTTTATGTTAAATACATAGTGCATATTTATAATATACAAATATATACACATATATAGTGTGTACGTATATAAAGTGAACATTTTACCTGTTAACAAAAATATTCAAGTAGTGATTGCTATAGTTACTGATTCTTTTATATAGGTATATATATATGTGTATATATGTATATATATATTTTTAAAAGAATATTTTACCATGAGCTGAGCTCCCATCTTCACCACATCGCATGCTGATTAGTAAATAGTTCCCGGTCATAGTAGTATTTTTCATCAGGAAATTGGATTAGTTTATCACCTGATGTGAAAGAGAAAGCCTGTGTTCCCCTGGACCTTCCTCCAGAGCCTGTTAAAATTTCTGAAATGGCTGCTATTGATGCCACTGAATTTAGATTAAATGCTTTTCAAATGTTTATTTGTTTTGAGAAATGGAAATATCAAAACTCCAACTATGTGATTTTTCAAGGGGTACTTAGACAGTGCAGTCCTGACACACTTGGAGATTTTTTTGAAGAGTTTGTTATGTCATGGATGTAATTGGAATTCTTTGCTTCTCTGGTCATCTTCTTTGCCCCCTGGAGATGTCTCCCATTCATCTAGTTCACAAAGGGAATAATTCCCTATACAAACATAGAACTAGCTAGCTACAATTACCAATACATTCAGGAGACATTTAGAAATAATGATCTCATTTTTTCTGACCCTCTTTCTTGAGTGCTTGTAGCTAGCTAGCTGTGTGAGACTTTTTTTGTGTGTGTGCTGTAGTGAATAGCACAACAGATTTTTTGTTACATTATCAGTAGTACCACTTACACATTGTATACTTTCAAATGCCAGTGTTGTTTTTACAAAAATACATCATTTCTCTCAAACTTCTAATTATGCTTTCTGGTTGTTAGTATTTGGAGATAACTTCCATATCACGAAGAACTTAAGTAATTGCATTTGCCATAGGATTACACGGGTCTTTAAAATGAATTTAACTGTGTTGTTACCCGATTGTTCACAACCTATGCACAAATAATATGTTGCTGACAGCATCAGGAGAGGTCAAGGAATAACACATACAGGAGCAGTAAGGAATATTTCCAGAACTGCTCCTGTTGTGGTGTAGGACAGTAGAAAATATCTTACGAATTTCATATATACTAATGAGTAAATATCTGTTGTTGTGTTGTTACGATTAGTTATGTGTCTTGTAGAGGCCAAAATAGCCCAGCTTTAACATTCATAGTTATTATATTATCATCTTATAGCCATTATTCTTGCTATACATAGATTTTACTAAAATCACTCATCAACCCCTGGTTTATTGACTTGAAGTCAGTGTCTTTGATTTCTTCTGGAGCGTGTTCTCTCTTGTCTGTGCTGGGAGAAAACTACCACAAGTTCTCAGTTTTGACCCTTTGAAGCACAACTGTGCCAAAGGATATCTTCAGAGAAGCAGACTTAAACAGCACTTTTTAAACAAAACTGTTCATAGAAACATATATTTAAGTCTGTCTAAATTCTTCATTGTTGAGTGTTAATGCTGTTACTTAGTCAAAATGTAAATAGTTTAAAAATTACTTGTAGCCTTTGTTTTACGTGCTTAAAGGCCTGCTTATACCTTTCTTGCTATGCAAAGGGCTGCGTAAATGATGTTGTTTTCCCACGGTCATCCGAAATTCGGGAAGAAAAAAAACCTCTCCTAACTCCAGTGTGTTGCTGGAAATCTGAGATTCCTGTATTCCTCACAGTAGGTACCAGATTTGATAAATCAAGCACACGCTCCTGGAGTTCAGGTTCTATGTTTAAATAGTTGAAGCATATGTATGTGATGCATTGGCATACATATTCATTCTTGTCCAGGAACTCACTAATATATGCTAATGTTCAGTGGTCATACGACCACCTGCTTCCTCCCCTTTATTTCTCCTTCGGCTTCATCACAGTGACTTTTAGCCGACCTTAAGCTGTTTTTCCTCATTTGGCAAATTTCCATTGCTTGTTATGCCATAATAAGCAATTTTGTATCTTGGTGCACTGTAACTCCAAACAGTTTATGTGGAATTCAAGAAAAAGCCCTTGCACCTGGTGGATGCAAAGATAAAAGTACTCAGTTGTGAGTTCAGTGCTTCTCTGAAGCCAGATCATTGAGAAAAAAAGGGCTGTTCATATACCAATCAAAGCTCAACTGGAAAGTTTTAGAACTAGCTCTTATTGATGCCTTTTACCAAACTAATATATGCGTCCTGAAATGAATTTATTGATTCCTATTGCTCAACCAACCTGTATCACCATGTTGTCCTGAGCAGATATAATTATGTTCAGAAATGATTGAATAGAACCATACGTTTAAGCAGATTGTAAAACACGTCAGAAATTTTTGTATTGTTTAATTTAAAATCTGTGTTGCAAACCGTAGGCAGGTGTTAAAACTAGGTGTTGTGTACTTTTATGCAGAGGATAAAGCTTCATGCTTTGTCTCTGTTTTCTTGCAGTGTTATATGCAGGACAAAAATCAGAAGAAATGATGCTATGGTACTGAACCATGTGTGAAAGATTTTTACATAATCCTTGCTGTCAGATCAGCAGACTTGATGTGTTTAACTGATGTAAACCTTTTCAGTAATAGAAAGGTAGAATAATGTACTTGCTCTCTTAACTTTCCTCTCACATCTATTACTTGATCATCCTGAGTTTTATGGAAAGAATTTATCAAAGAATACTTTTTGTTTGTTTGTTTGTATTAAGCCAGTTGGTAACTGTTTTAATATAATCATATTCATCCGGATTTTGAAATATTTCTATCCTCAGCTGTTTCAGCAAGGATGGCCAAGCAGAAATTTAAATCAGTAGTTTTGTTTTGTTTTTAATGTTATTTCATATCAGCAGTATATTATCCAAGCTTTAGAATTCTGTGAAACATGTAATCTTTATAATTTTGTCGTGTAATTGTATTAAATTTATTAGTTTGCTCTGGAAGGCTTTGTGGCAAGCTCACCAATAAACTCCTGACCTTCTGTCAAGGCAAAAGATGCTACTAGCAAAGGAAGGATATAAATATTTTTAGATTTGATGCCGCTGTTCCACAGATAAGAAAGAGATAAGAGCCCACTCCCTGTACTAAATCCAAGGAATTAAGTAATAAATTGACATCGTTGTTTGAGCTGGGCTCCGGTTCAGACAAGGTTTTCGGGAGATCTCAAAACAAATACAACGACTTAGGGGAAGCAGTCTTTTCCTATTTGAGGTGGAATAATCAGTAGTGAAGGATTCTGCCAAAGGTCAGTTGAGTGTGACATTCTGAAAGACCAGAAGGAGCCAAAGAGATAATTCCTTGATGCTTGGCAGATGGGCAACTCTTGGAGAGTTGTAGCTGTATTATTTTTAGCAATTTAGTTAAAATTGTGAACATTTATTAGTGTGTTAGGTCCAAATAATAATCTTGTGTGATCAGCTTCTTTTCCTAAGCTTAAGAATGCCCCTTAAAATAGGAAGGATATGAAAAAGCTTCACAGTGGAGCTGTGGACATCACCTCTACCTCTTACAGCCACTTTACACTGTGTTGAAACCTGAGTTCCAGCTGTAGGGTTGGTCTTTCTGACAATGGGACTTGGGGCACCAGTTGGGACTTCGGCGATGTGGTTTTGCAGATGGCCTGCAGATGGGTTAAAATGCAGTCTTGGGCGAAGTCTGCAGCTCCCTGCCCCCTCTGCTTCATCACTATCAAAGCCTCAGACTTGAGAAAATGCACTGCTGCTGTGGTTCAGGATCCAAGCAGAAGAACAACACTAAATTTGACATTGTTCTTAATATTTTCTGGTGAGGTATTTTATTGCCGCCTTTTTTAGTAGAAAGCAAATGGGAATTAAATCGGTCTCTGTTGAGTTTTTGCAGTCATCCAAGAATATGTTGGCTGAAGAATATTCAAATATGATAAAGAAATAACGTAGATCTTTCTTGTATGCTCTGTGAAGTAGAAGATAAGCCTGGGGAAATACAGAACAGATGGTAATGTTTCCACAAATGAAAGCCATAAAGGAGAAGGACCAATAAACTCTATAGTATGTACAGGGCACGAGTATTTTCCCTCCAGGCCAAGTAAGGCAGAGTTTTTAACATTAGAGTTAATGTTTCTTTTTAAATTTCCTATATATAGCACAGGACAATTTGAAAAGGAAAAGTTATACTACAAGGAAAAACTATTCTGCAAGATTTAAATGAAAAACTGAGTGGTACTGTTTGTTTCCTGACTAATCTTCTTCTGCTTTTTTTTCATGAAAGGTGGCTATCATCCAGTGAAAATTGGCGATCTCTTCAATGGCAGGTATCATGTTATTAGAAAGCTAGGATGGGGACACTTCTCTACAGTCTGGCTATGCTGGGATATGCAGTAAGTGAACGACTTATTTCCATGCACTTGATTTTTTTTTTTTTTTTTTTTTTGGCACATGATAAACTTACGTAGATGTATGCAGTCTTTTTCTGAAGGAAGGTGTCTGTATTAAAATTTTGCTCTTGGTTAAGGCTGTAATTTATAAAACTTCTCAGAAATGTGTAACTATTCTATTTGACAGATTAGCTTTGCCTATTGAATTTACATGTTGTCTTGAACATGTGAGAGTAAGATAATATTTTTGTTTCTGTTGCATCTTTAATGAAAAAATATAATTATTGTGATACCTCTTAAATACGTTAGCTTCAAGGAGATAAAATATTTAATAAGACAGACAATTAACAAAATGTTATTAGAAGTTGCTTTTCCGTGTAGTTTCAGTTTTGTAGTATTCTAGCAGAATACGGTAGGTAATGAAATATTGTATTTAAAATTTCCAAACTTCAAAATGTCTCTTTTAGCTTTGAGCACTTGTTGAAAATATTTTGGTTTTGTTTTTTTCTAGGGGAAAAAGATTTGTTGCAATGAAAGTTGTAAAAAGTGCCCAGCATTACACGGAGACAGCCTTGGATGAAATAAAGTTACTCAAATGTGTACGTATCACTCGTTTAGGATGGTGTTCAATACCAGCCATAACAGTAATAACAAATAAAATTAAAAAATGTAGTGGGGTATATTGTTTAAACTTTTTTTTGCTAAGCAGCTTATTTGTTATGTTACTAAAGCTCCAAAATATTGACATCGGGCAGAAAGCAAATTCCTTGGTGTTTTCATGTCAGTCGTTCCCTGAAATGTCTGCCTTTACGCTCTTGGTTTAGGTTCGTGAAAGCGACCCTAATGATCCCAACAAAGATATGGTTGTACAACTAATCGATGACTTCAAAATTTCTGGAATGAATGGAATACGTATCCTTTTGAAAACATTGCATCTTCAGTAATAGTGATCTGTGGAGATAAGTAAGCTCTTCGTTCTGGCTATTTTTAGGTAGACTTAATTTAAAACAGTAGTGCAGAAACATCAACGTAAGTGTAGATGGAAGGAACAGTCCAATATGTGATACGCTCACGGGGGTCAAATAGCTCAGATTTTTAAAATACAGTGCAAAATAAAAATTAATAAAAGACATTAATCCTGTCACAGTCTATTAGAACTACAAAGGATAAGATTGTTTAGAAACAGCAGTTTTACTGAAAAGATTAGTAATAGGTGAGGCTTACAGTATGCATGTTCTGCTCTAGACTAATAAGGAGAAAGGAAGTGTTAGTGTCGTGAGGAAGCTTGTTTCTGTTTTCTTCGGTGAAGTGTGAGGGTGTGGAAAAAGTTTTCTTATTATGTTTTTTTTTTTGGTGTTTTTTTTTTGGCTACATGACTTTGTGAGTTTTTTGGCCAAGCTTTTAAAGATTTTTATTCTATGCTGTGAGAGAGGGAGAGGGGGATGGAGAAAGAGGTGCAATATGTGACAGAGCATTGTTCTCAGGGAAAAGTTGGGGCCTATGAATATATTTTTATATTTGACCTAAAGTGAGTTATCCTTGCTAATTGTATTTTAGCAGCTTATTATGTTACTATTCTTTCATTGACATAAATACAACTGGTATTTATTTGTATGCTTGTTGTGTCTTGGAGAACTAACAACTGTCCTCATTGTTCATACTACTCAACCAAGAGAGCTCCTGCTCTACTGAGCTCAAGATTTTGGTGATGTGCCGTCAGTCTTCAGAAGATTAGTTTAAGATATTCCTCACTGTCTCTGGTCCTCCAGGGGAGGAATCTAGAAGATGACTGCCAGTGAATTTGAAAGCATCCTCCCAGGAAGAAATGTTTGGTTTTTGTTCCACCCATCTGTCTGTTGACATTAGTTATGAAGCCTTAGGGTTTGTAATAAGAAAGAAGGGAGAGTATGGGGACATGTATTCTCATTTGCAGAGTAGGATCCTAACCGTTTTCTCTCATTTTATTTGGTGCCTGGTTGCTTCATTGGTTAGCTATCATGCTAGAAAGCTGCTTCAATGTCAGTGAAGCCAATGTAATCTGCTTTTTTTGTAGGTTTTCTTATCAAATTACCATGAATTAAAATAAACTATACAGTTGCTTGCAGTCATTTCAACTTGTTTAGAAATGATTTATGGCCAAGGAACTTGTTAATACAATGGGGCAAAGAACCCTAACTGGGGTTTCTCAGTGTTGTTGGACTACAAGAATATCTTCGAGCTGAAATGCTTCCTGAGAAGTACTGTATAAATATCTCTATTGTCTGTGTTCGTTCACTAAAAAGTAATGTCATCAGAGCACTTCAGCTCTTAAGACAACTGTTCTGGTGAAAACTAATTGAAGTTATTTTTAGAAATCAGAGATTTTAACTTGCTGTTTTCATTGTAGAACAGTAATATGAAGTGGGGAATAAGAAGATGTATTTATACCTATGTGTAGAAATAATTTTTATTGGTTTAATGGAGTCGTTTCTTGGTAACATTCTTAAATTATTGGTGAGATACACGTGTTAAAGGTAAAAGCCATTTCTGAAGAAGATTATGAAGAGTAAACTTTGTTACTAATAGTATTTTGAAAACGTATCCAACTATAGCATTTATGTTGACAAAGCCAATGGAAACTCTACTGGTGAAAAATAACAACTCAGGTAGCTTTGCATCAGCAGATTAAAATTGGACATCTGATAGTGATTTATTCTATTTCACTTTTACCTTCATGCTGAAAATTCTGGCAGTTCAGAAGTTGGTTTATATCGAAAGCAAATGTTTTAATTACTGAGAGAGAAAGGTATAATAGTCACCAGTGCAAATATGATAGCAAGTATCTTCTGTTATGAGTTGTCTCCTGAGCAATTTGTGCATTCTGAGTAGCATGACTTATTTGATCAAAATTTGGCTCTGTTGGTTATTTGATTAAGTCCTTCTGGTCTTGTAGGGGAAAAAAAATCTTTGGTGCAGGTTCTTTTAGAAGGGAGCAGGTAACTTTTTAGCATCTTGCTGCTACTGGATTTCATTAATTAAAAAGAAAAAAAAAGGCTATTTTAGTGCTATGTTAGTGTTATGGGATGATCAGGCTGAGAGACAGACAATATTTCATGCTGTGTTATTTCTGGTGTCCCTTGGGAAAATCACTAAATATCTGTTCTTTGACTGTTCTTTGACTGTTGATTACGGAATACCTTCAAAAGTCAAAGAAAGACAGGGGAGAGGTGGGTGAATCCTTCAGGTGGCCAACACCACAAAATGTAATGGAGATTCCAAACAGGGAAGCTTGTAAAGAACACTGAGGCACAGGGCTGTGAATATGCAGAGCCATTGGCCTGGGCTGTGTGTCTGGAAATAATCACCCTTCTCCTAGGAGCTGTAAGACATACTTACAAACATGTGGATTTTAACCACGTATGCTGTACGCTAGACTGATAATTTTTGTTAGCTACTTGTGCGGTTTAAAAATACTACAATTATATGTATTTTATTCAGGAAATAACAATTTCTGAACGTGGGCACTGTAATTTTTTCAGTAAGTGTAGATCATTAATTTTATTTACACTGGATGTTTATTAGAATCTTAATAAATGATTGAACATTTTTTAATCAGAGGTTCTGATAATCACACAGTGAAACAAGTGTTTGGAGACAAGTGAGAAAGTGAAGAAGGAAATGATCATGTATTACAATAATTCTGTGATTCTGTAATTGTAATAAATTTGCCTTTAAAGAATAAACAGCACAAATTAAATGCCGTAGGGCCTTAATGCTGCTTACACAAAAGTATCTGAGATACATTCAGAAGTGCTCTGTGTTGGTACCAGCATTTTGTCATTTGTTTTAACTAGTCTGTAAGCCTCATCAGATTTCTAAATAGTCCTCTAGTACGTTTGTAGATCAATAGATAGTTGCATGTAAGATTTTAGTCAAGAAATAAGTTTTAAGTACTTAAAGCTGTCAGCTGATACACGTTATGTTTGTTCTCTCTTGTTTTCCCTATCTGCTAAGTTTCCCTCGTTCAAGCCTTCCCCAGACTTTGCTTCAAAGAACATTTCATAAGGGATGTGTGTACGGTGTGGGCTTTGCGTTTCTGTTTTTCTGGAGGACTGTGTGGACACACTCATATATCAGGCACTTGATGTCGTGGGATGATCCCAGAGCTCACGAGGCTGGATTCCTGATAATTAGTGCACAGCTTTCCTCACTGTTTGTGGGCACACTGGCTCACGGTTAAGGTTCTTCAGGTCATGACAATGAATCAGACAACAGTCACATTTACATGTCTATAATAAACCTTGATTCTTCAGTGTGTCTTTCTGCCATCCCACTTTCCTCCCCAGTACTGAGCATGCCTTGGGTTTATCAGAGTCCTCATGGCAAAATGCTGCAATCTCTCTCAGGTAGATGTCACTCCTCCTGTAGCTCTCCCTCTCTTTGCTTGACTCTGCCATTCCTCCTTGCATCTTCTTTCTCTGTATCCTGTCCTTCCTTGCCTCTCAGCTCTTCAATTCCCAGTATCCCTTCCTATTCTGTTTAATGACAAGGCGTAGCACTCTAATACGTGCATGGAATGGCACGAATCTGCACTGGAGAGTCTGCTGCGGCAGTAGTCTGAAGGATGGTGAGCAGGTGTCCTAAATTTCATTTCTTAATGCTGCAGTGTCTTGCCTTCCTGGAATAAGTGTTGCTGTCTTCCTGTAACTTCACAACTTCATTGTGTGGGCTAAATTGATAAGCTGTGTAGAGCTAATGTGCTGTGTTCCTCCTCTCTGATGACTATGTGCTGCTCTAGTGACTTCTGTTCATTGGGTGCTTGTATGGTAAAGTAAACAAGGCTGTTTCTTCTTCTGAATTGAACAGAGTTTTATAATATTTTGAGTAGGCTGTTCACGGTCTCTCCTAGTATTGGAGTTGAGGAGCATCAACTAAGTTGAGCAGGTAGCAGCTATCAGAATAGTACAGTTATTCTCAAAGTGCTTTGACCAGTCTTGAGACATCATTCAGTCTAATTCTAGTTTAAGGATGTAGATTACAAAACTTCACATGGCTTTATTCATATGGGTAGGTGCTTGAGAAGAATGTAAATGGTAGACCCATAGACAAGGTATGCATCATTTTTACTCGGGACAGTGACACTAAGATCATCATCAGGATGCTAGGTATTAAAACCCTTGCTCTCTTCCATACACTTCACTGATGGTCTGCTATTGGAAAGATCCTGAGTCAAATTAAACTTTCTGGCATTGTTGTTTTTGCATGTTGCTTTTTCTTTTGTTCCTGAGTTCTTTGCTGATTGCCATTATTCTTTGCAGTTAAAACTCTATGAAGTAAGGGATCCATTCTCTTACTACTTCAGTCTTTATTTTCAAGTGTTTCTCAATTGAACCTAATCAGAAAGATGTTTAGAATAGTTCTTTTTCTAAAACACTACAGCTGTAGTCTGCTGTTGTTAAAACCTTCTATTTTTTAAAATTTATTAGAAATTAGAGATGATAGAACAAATCAGTACTTTGAACTACTTCAAAGAAAACAAAAATGGATTACTTATTTTGTGACTTAATTACTCACCCTAACACTGCTTTTACCTTTAGAAATAAAGGACAAGAATACATTTAAAATGTATTTAAAACATTTAAAATGTTTTATTTTAAATTGGTCTGTTAGGGCATGGTTCTTTTTTCCTGTTTATATATTATTGAAATGTAGTAACCGTGTTTTGATCAGTTAGGGGGGAACTATGATTACATGATGATGATTGCTTTAGCCAACAAGCAAACAAACGTTTGTGGTTCATCTTATTAACAAGTTTGTTTGGAAATTGTCCTTAATTAAGCCCCAGATGTTTGTATGGTCTTTGAAGTACTTGGACACCATCTCCTAAAATGGATAATCAAGTCCAATTATCAAGGCCTTCCCATCCGTTGTGTTAAAAGTATAATTCGACAGGTAAGATTTGCTAATGTTTTAACTTTTTCCACCATTGTTAACATTCTGAAGGCTAGAATGGTGACATTTCAGCTTAGTTCTTACTAATTATTATCTAAGATAAGATAATTTTATTGTTAAACTCAGGGCGCTGGGGGGTTTGTAGGAACCTCTTATTGGGTAGCCTGTATTTCTGCATATTGTATTATTTTTATCAAGATATCCCACTGATAAGGGAGTTTTCAGTACTGTTTTGGTGAATAAAAAGCTGAAACAGTGGGTCTTATCCATAGATCTTTTAATTCAATTGCAGTTTTGGTCAACAAAACCATCAGCATGATATGCTCCTTAATAAGCTTATCTGTCTCTGAAAAAAAACCTGATTCTGAAGGAAAAAACTGTTCTTTGAAAGTTATTACTTACCTATTTTTAAGTTCTTGTCGAGTCAGAGACCTAACCAGATGAAACCAGGACAACTTATAAGGAAATGTTCTTTCAAAATATGTTCTCTTGTTGTATTGTGGAAACCAAATTGCTGAGAGGTAAAGAGAAGTATTGTCTCAGCATGAAAAAACCATGAAAAAATCTGTGATTCTGTATACATACTAATCCATGTGCAGTTAATACTTTGCCAATACATAAATATTTTCAGATTGCCATTTAAGTAATTTGTATTGTCTTTCAGCAACATTACTTCTGTTGTATTAATAACCTGTCTATTGAAATAGTTATTTGCTTTGAAATCTTTATTGTATGTCATCTGATGAATCTCAGCCTATCTGCTTTTTAATCAGAACTACTGAATGCTCTGATGCAGCTGTTAGTAAGTAGTTGAAATTGCAGGTCCAGTAATTTCTGTGCAGCCAGGTGGCTCACGTACCCAAAATAAGAAGCTGTACTGATGCAGCGCTCCGGCTGCACAGAGCTGTGTGCTGTGGAGCAGGAATGTGTCTGTTTGTGTTGGTATGTGTCTATAAATATCCACGGTTTCCCGTAAGCATTGTCATTTTTTTGTTTGGAATGTTCTCACTATGTTGCACCATTGTCCTGGAGGCTGGCCAAAGGATGGGAATTTACAGTGTGCTTTCTTTATACACTGCCTTTAGCAACGAACCAGTTTTTGGAGCTCCCTGCTATGATTTATGTGCATTACAATGGCTGTTTGCAGAATCAGAGCGTAAACCACTGAATGGATCCAAGCTAAAAACAATCTCTTTTTGGATGGAAGCTGGAAACTTCTGAACACAGCTTCACATGGTCTTGCCTGTAACCTTGCAAAGGAGAATTTTGAAGTGTGGCGTTCAGGGATGGTAACCAAAACCCAGTGAGAAGTGGGGTTAGCAAGGAGCTGCCTTAGGAATGGAATTATATGGGAAGCACAATGGAAGGTTTTGAAGAACATGTTCTCCTTCCAGATGCAATCAGAAAACCGGTGCCATGCGCGTTCTAAAAGTTTATTTGTAAAACTTGAATATGAAACAGTTCAGTTATTGCAGTGGTGCTCAGCAAAATAAACCATTTTGTTTCAAAAAGTATTATAGCTGAATGCTATAATGAAAAAGAATTTTTTTATATTACAATTGGGAATTTTTTTCCCACTTCTTTAGTATTTTTGAGCATTGGGGCGAAATTAAGGGTTAGTTTAAAATGCAGCTGAGAGCTGAGTTTCTTAATAAGAACCTCATACTCATTTCAATTTTAAGCAGTACTTCTTCCCTTGGGGCAGAGCTATATGAAATGTCATGCAAGAGATGCCTCTGTAGAATTGAAAAAAGGGTTGGTTGCCACAGTTTCTTTTGTGTAATGAAGGTAGAAGTTAGAAGTGTGCGTTTACTTAATTCTAGAATCCTCATTTTGAGTTCTGAAATACATAGCATCAGTCTGTTTTAAAGGAATCATCTTCTGAAACTATTTACTAAAGCCAGCATTGCGTTACTGAAGCAATGAAAATTTTCACTTTTGCTTCTCACCTGCGGTACAGCAAGTAGTCTGTTTAATGTGTCAGTGTGATGTAGCTCCCTGAATGCAAAAGGAAGAAAAGAAAAGGGATTCTTAATTAGATACTGCAAACGATGATGGTATTTCTTGATGTGAAACTAACCATGTGACTTTTACAGGGGAGGAAATACAGTTTTGTAATTTGCATTTGCAGTAACAGGCCCTATTCTGATTTTTCAGAGTTGCAATACACGGTGCATGTGATTTTATTTTCAGTGGAGAAATAAATAAAAAGGAGAATTGTTTTCCCCGTTGTCCATCATCTCAGACTATGATGCAAAAAAGTACATGCAGCGTGCATTTAATTACTGGTATGGTGGTATAGTATACTTGCAGGTTTTGGGATAAAGCAGTCTGATCTATGTTTTAGGATTGCTAAGAGCATCATTTCTCATTATAAAATCCTAGTGGTCCTTGTGGTAAGTCAGTGTGCTCCAGAATTTTTTATTTTGGCCTCAGTTTACACATGTTTAATTGTTATTGTCATCTATAGTGATGGAAGGAAGAGGTTACTGTGATCTATCTTTGTGTTCCTATTGCTAAGGGGGTCTTTTCTAGATTTTCCAGCCTCTCACTAATAGCCAGTCTTCCTTTCAGATTTCTCAATTTGTGATACACTGTATGTTATTTTGATTGACTTGGCACATACTCAAGTGTATGTTGGATTTGCAAGAAAAATCCAGATTATAAAGAACACAGCAGTTTTTAGATGCACCATTCACACTGATTTTGAGCCTTACTCAAGTGAACACGCAGCTTTTACGTGCTCATGATAGAAAGCTTTTCAGAAGGTTGCTATCTGGGGCTAGCTCCAGAAGAGAAGGCAGGGCAAAGCACTTGAGATATTTCTAGGGTGCATTACCCTCAGTGTAAACATCAAACACATGCAACTGCTGTTCTCTTATCTGAGCTCCCATCCATGCAGGATGAACGTGCCAGTCTGGTACTAGCTCAGTACTGAGTGGTGGGCTGATGTCTTTGTATTCTGTTACTGCTATTTAGAACCAAGATCTTTGTTTTTAAGGCTCACCCTTGCCAGTTATGTTTTCAAGGATCATCAGAGCACGGAAGTTAGCCATGTGCTAGTTTACTTATAAAATACCTAGAATGGCACTGTTCCTGTAGTTGAAGCTCAGGAGCGTGGTGGTCTATTTCTTGCTGTACAACATTCTATAAGAATTGAAAGAAATGTTTTAAGTGGGGTCACCTAGGTTTCAGTTTCTTTGTTTTTCTTGCTGATGTATTTTTTACAGTATTTATGAAGCTTACTATAGCAATAGTTTGTTTTTTACCCCCTTTCATTACCCTGTACTAATTAATTGAGGTAATTGACATTCCACAGTTTATACCTAAGTCTCACCTAACATACTTCTAAAACCACACCAGCTGTTGTATTTCTGTGCTAGTCAGAATCAGAGAAAGCTTTGTCATTATGTTTTTATTTTAGTCCCAGAAGACATTTTCAAGAATTTGGATATGCAGGTTTCATATGAGCTTGCAAAATTCAGTCTGCAAAAAATATGAAGGACTAGAGGAAAAATACAAGTAACAAGTACAGGTAGACAGTTCTGTGTGTGACATCTTGGTCATGTTAAAAGCTGAATTACTGTTGCAGTTGTAAGGCAAATTGCAGTTAGCATTTCACCCGCTGTTTCCCTTATTGCCTTCTTTTCCAAAGGAAGATCTGTCGAGTTTTTTTACACGTGTGCAAGCCAGCTGAAGAATGGTTGGGAATTGGAAGTCTGAGATCAGGTTGCTGTCATTGAAACAGTTCAGCCTGCCAGTGTCTAACTTGTCAATGTCTCTAGAATTGGGTTTATGAGCTAAGTATACTAGGCCACGTATGGACGGTAGGCAATAGGTTGAACTTCTTTTTCTATACTAATAAGCACATTTAGCTTGTTCTGGCTTACAGGAAACAAAAATAAAATTCCTTTTTCAATTAGGTTCTTCAAGGTCTAGATTATCTACACAGCAAGTGCAAGATCATTCATACGGATATTAAGCCAGAAAACATTCTGATGTGTGTGGACGATGCCTACGTTCGTAGAATGGCTGCTGAAGCTACTGAATGGCAGAAAGCTGGAGCTCCTCCTCCTTCTGGCTCAGCAGGTATGACAGTGTGTTTAAATGCAATGTAGTAAATTACTGTAAATTAATCTGTAAATTAATGCTAGCAATGTTTTATTTAATGCATATGAACATTTTAAATCACAGAGTCACAAAGTGGCCAGGGTTGGAAGGGACCTCAAGGATCATGAATCTCCAACCCCCCTGCCACATGCAGGGCTGCCCAGCCTGGTCTAGTAAATCGCATGTAAAAGAAAAGTATGTCCACTGAACTCTTATTCATATTCTGGAGAGCTAAAAAGGAAATGTTTTCTTCTCAGTTTTTCATGTTCAGGTTTTTGGAGTGCCTGCAGATTTATTGGAACACAGTCCCACCCTGCAAGCTGCAATGACTTGCATCTTTAATACTGGCAGTAATTAATAGTCACATCTAACTTTTGTGTCTGGTTCTATTACAGTATCATCAGTGTTCTTTTGAAATTATCTGTCTTTTCACCAGTTGTAACTTATTCTCAAGATGTAGCGACAGGTCTTGCAGTCCATAGCTTTTCATTCTTGCAAACAGCATTTATTGTACTTGAATGAATACACAATAAGCCCTTCTTCCCAGCACTGCACGTGAAATATTTTGTTAAGCTTGCCAAGATCTTAGATGGGAACTGCACGTTTTACGTTTAGGTAGGAGGAACCAAAGGGAAGGAGCTTACAGCTATCAGTGAAGACATGCCAGAAGGAAATACGGCTTTTTGAGAGATTTTCTGTGCATGGTCACTGTTTTATTTTGTAGTCCAACAAATCAGCTACAGGCAGTGGAGAGACAAAGCATTTAAAGCTTTTGTAATGTTACCAGAAAAAATATATTATGGATTAAATTTATAGAGATATAGTACAAATACCTACTATATCAGGAGCAATCGCTGTGGCCTAAATCATAGATATTTCCATGGTGGAACGTTCTTTCCAGACTCTGCATTTCCTAAAGCTCTTTCTTTTCAACATCATTTTTTGGACTCGGTCTATGAGTATGAGTTTTTCTTTGTTGAGCTAACAATGTTTGTGGTGTTTTACAGTATTATTTATGTTGACATGCAAAACCTTATAAATTGTTAGTATATTGTGTTGAATTTTACATAATGGGGAATCATACTGCTAAAGGCTGTATGTTGCCTGTGTGGGAAGCAGACTTGACATTGCTTCCTGACATTAAAATAAACGTTATGGAAAGTATTGATGGAATTCTTATCACTCTTTGTTCTTGGCAATTTGCAGTTACATATGTGGCATTCCACACAGGGACTGAAGATGTGTTTTTGTTACAGCATTTTAAGAATAGGTTCTGCATACTTGCATTTTTTAGAGGTGATGATAGTCAGATTTAAGAACCTTTGAGACAGCACTGCCCTTTCAGGGACACAAATGCAGTTTTCTGCACCTGTGGTGATGGTGATGGTGTTTCTATGTGTGGCATTTTGTTGTTGTTGTTACTGTTCTGTGCATTTTCACAGTGACTTGTAATTGCAGCAGTCATTGATGGTGTCTGTCTGGGACATGCGTAGGAAGGGGTGCATGCTGGAGATGCTTTCCCTGGTGTAGTGCTTTTTGCCATAGGCAATTCTTCATGCCTGCAGTCCTATCAGAGTACTCCACTTCAAAAGGAAGTGTGAATATCTGACTTTTCTGCTCAGTCCAACACAACAGTCACCTGCATTGATACTGCCTGAACTATTTAAAATCTGCCTGCCTCTGATCAGTCAGCTGACTGCATGCATTTCATCTGTGACATCTCTGAAGTCAGTTAAAGTTTTCTGTCTACCCACGACTGTTTTGGAGTCCTCTATCTGAATTTGATCAACTCTCCACTAGCCACAACAGAGAGAACAGAAATTACTGATAAATCCTTCTAATTCCAGACAGTCTAATGGAGACACTGTATGATTTCAGACAGGAGGCATTTGTTAAGAGTTAAAATGCTGGTTGAAAATAAGATTTTAAATCATTGCTTTATCACTTGTACTTATTCCTGCAAAAATGTATATTGACTTTTTTTTTCTTTTCTTTGCAGTGAGTACAGCTCCACAGCAAAAGCCTGTAAGTATTATTGTGTAATTCAGATCAACTATCTTACTTCCTGTGTTTCTGGAGGTATTTGTAATTATTAGACTGTTAGTAGTATTAATACTTTTTTAAAGCTTCCTTTGAATGACACTTTTATGTTTCAAAGAACATTTTTCTTTCAATGTCTTTGGCCTGACCAGTTTTAAACACCAGTTTTAATGCAAATTCTAAGAGAATTTCTGATGGAAGTTCTCTTAGAAATACTGTAGCTATACCAAAGAAAGTGAAGCATGGCCACTGTAATCTCTCATGGAATTATCCGTTCATTTTTATCCTGATGGGAATGCATGCATGCACCAAATATCATGCATTGCAGATAGCTGCAGAAGTTCAGTGCCTTAATCAGCAAGGTCTGAAAAGGTAGGTTTTTTTCATGAGGTCTTAAATATCTTTTTGCCATTTGCTAGTAGAAGAACCTCTGATAGCAGAGCTGTTTAGTAGTTGAACCTACTAAGGCTGAACCTACTTTCTGTGTTCAGAATCTGTATATAGTTTTAAGTAAGCATACAACATGCATGGAAGTTAGAATTAACTGTCTGGTTTTGATTGTCATGTAACTTGTTTTGAAGGTGATGGCGTTTATGGACAAACCTTTGAGAAAAGAATGTTTCTCATTGCACTTCATTTTTGAACTGTTTGAGGATATTTATTATGGTATTATTGTGGTATCTGTACAATGAATGAAGATTGGATTAAGCTAATTTACCTACTAGTAAAATTAGAAGTCAGAATTCAATTAAAATATAATAAATTGTTTCAGCCTTAGCAAGAATCTGTTTGTTTTTTTTTTCCCTTTGTTGTTAGACCTGGATTTTTTAATCCTTATGTTATATAAAATGCAAAATGTTTAATGATCACCATCTGTTCTTTGTGAATCATATGTTTTGGACCAAAAATAATGAAACTGCTTTCTTTTCACAGGGAAATAACTGAACAGCAAAGGACTTATTTCAAATTCTTTAGTATTTTCAGTCTTTTTGAATTTCTTATGCAATTTTTCTCAGCATCTTTTTGATGAGCCTTACCTGCATTGTACAGAGAGAGAATTGGTGTATATAGTCTATATGCAGATAAATAGGTATGATAGCAGAACATCTTCCACATACAATAGTATCGTCTGCTGATCTAGATTAAAATTACTGTTCTGGTTTAGGTTATAGGAATTTTATAGTGTCATCTCAGTTGTATTTTGTTCTTGGGTCTAATACACAGCAATGCAAAAGCATATACGAGCATCTAAGATTTTATAGTTTTATTTGATACACATAACCCGAGGTTGTACTTCATTTGAAGTAAAGTAGAATAACAGTCTATTTACTGTATTAATTACTACCCAGTACTTCCAAATAAAAAGGAGCCATACTGCATGCTTTTGGTGTAAGATGCCTTGAGGAGAATTGTTCAGGGTTTTGTTTGGTTTGTTTTTATTACTATTTCAGGTTGGGAAAATATCCAAAAACAAAAAGAAAAAAATGAAGAAAAAACAGAAGAGGCAAGCAGAGCTGTTAGAAAAACGCCTGCAGGAAATAGAAGAACTGGAGCGAGAAGCCGAAAGGAAAAAAATAGAAGAAAATGTAACCTCAGCTGTACCATCAAATGAACAAGAAGATGAGTACCACCCAGAGGTGAAACTAAAAACAGCTGATCTCGAAGAGGTCGTAGATGAAGAAACTGGAAATGATGATGGTTAGTGTCATCTGCTTTTATTGACCTTGAACCTGCTGTTTCAGAAGGGAAAGTAGTTGCAGCTTACTCACAACATTTTGTGTTGAAATTCTTTTTTAACTTAGGTGGTTCGGAGCATAGTTGTTAAGGTCCAACTCCTTTCTTGTTTCTGTTGCTTTCTTATAAACTATCTCAGTTTTGATGGAATTTTTATGTGTGTGTTTTTGTTCTACTCAAGCTATAAATATTCCTATCTCTATGGTGAATCCCTGTTTGACATTGACTGAGTTAAGGATTTGTAGTTCTTGCTTTCAAAACTGTTTATAGATTTCATGCATAACATTCTTATCTTGCATTGTTTCCTCAGTTACACTATCCTGAACCACTTTCCGTTGCTATTTTTTTTCTTCCAACAACCCTGTTAGTCCCCTTTCTTGCCTTAACTCAGATTTTAAAGTCTCTGAATGTTCCTTCTGTGCTGTGTTGGAAGTCAAGTACTTACTGAAGAGTTCATTTGTGAATGTTTGGTTTTGAGATGGTATGTTGATGTATGATCTGATATGTTGCTCGTTAAAATTTTTAGGTGAAACAGAAGATCAGGATGAAAAAGAAGACACAGAGAAAGAAAACACTGAAAAAGATGATGATGTTGAGCAGGAACTTGTCAGCAATGACCCTACAGACCCTAAGTGGATAGAATCACCTAAAACAAATGGCCATATTGTGAATGGCCCATTTCTATTGGAACAACAGATCGAAGATGAAGATGACGAAGAGGAAGAATGTCCAAATGCAGAAGAGTATAATCTTGATGAGCCAAATGCAAAAAGTGATTACTCTTATAGCAGCTCTTATGAACAGTTTAATGGTGAATTGCCAAATGGACGTCATAAAATTCCTGAGTCACAGTTCTCTGAATTTTCAGCTTCAGTGTTCTCTGGGGCTCTAGAGTCTGTAGCTTGTGGTTCTGCTGTTTCTGAAGGATCAACTGTAACAGAAAGAGAGGAAAGCAGCCCATCTCATGACAGGAGCAGAACGGTTTCAGCTTCAAGCACTGGGGATTTGCCAAAAAGTAAGTATTACTCTTGCTGGCATGTGCCATCCATGCCTGAAGTCTCTCAGAGTTGTAGGTGATGCCTTACTGTAGAATGAGTGCTGGAATTAAACCTTATGTATGTTTTATCTTTGTTCAGTGATGTTTGTATGCAAATGCCATGGTTTTTTTCACTTGAAAATTCAGTTCCAAGTCTTTTGAGTAGGCTGTCACATGCATTTTTCAGTAGCATTTCGGTAATAGAGGAGGATTCTATTGCACCATTTCCTTTACTTTGAGAAGTAGAACTAGAATTCTGTGATGTTGCCTTTACTTCACTTTTAGCTGAAGTTTTAAATATTTTCACTTTCTGAGTTAGTGCCAAACCTGCTTATGTTCTGGCCTGCTCCCTGCTTGACTATGAAGGGTGCGTACTGTAAAAATGGTGCCCACATGCCAGCCTCTAAAGACTGCTCCTCTGCAGTGTGCAGATTGCTCCCAAATCCTTGCTTTCCTAGGCGCTGCCCAGACTTGGGCATAAAATGGGATATGAGGTCAGATTAGTCATAGCAGGAGAGGGTCACAGCTGCAACTCAGTACTGAGAGCCATTTTTTTCATTGCTCACTGATTTAATCTTCTTGGCTTTGCCTGCAGTGAACATTTTACTCATTGACTATTACATCATCTGAATGCAAAATCTCAGTCATGATTATTTAAAATTTGCTGTTTTATCTTTGAAGAGTTATGGAAAAAAAGCAAAGCTGATGTCTAGAAATGAACAGGAGACTTTTGAGTTACTTTGGTCCCAGAACGTTCTGGTTAACTTTGACCTCCTATAACCAAGTTTCAAGGAGAAGCACACGTGTTCGTTTTTAATGACTTTACAAAATGTAAGATAAAGAAGTGTTTGAATTGATGCGAGTCTTTTGCTAGTACCATGGGCATTGATTACATTAAAAAAAATAAAAGGAGAGAGGATCAAATGAGTAGAATAGAATAGGTTATGTTAAGAGACAATTGTAATAATGTCCTTAAAGGCAGTCAAAGCATGCTCTAAGTAAATTGGATGCCTCTTCATGCATTCCAGCGTAAGAGTTTGATCAATGCAGCTTGGAACACAAAACAAAAGCTACCTTGTTCTGTTAAAATAAATCTACCATCTTAAACTTTAAGAGGAAAGTAAAACTGTTTTTTTATGCTTTTGAACTTGTTTTAAAGTGTATTAAATAAATTACTGTTGTAAAATATTTGCATTAACAGGTCATCTACACAGGAAAGAGAGAAAGAAGGTGGTATATGAAAGTACGCTTTATTCACATACACTTAAGGCCAGAGGTGTTGTGAGATTGTTTAACCTGGCTTCCTTTTAACGTCAGGATTTTTGCCATTGAATTAAATAGCTCCCATAGGTTTTATTTATGGTGTCATTGGCTAAAGTATAAATGCATGAGTTTCAGCTTCAATAGGGAAAATATTGAAAGACTAAATCTGTAAGCAAACAGAAGAAAATGAGATGGTTCAAGAGAAAATCAGAGAGCCTGCGTGAATGTCGTCCTGGATGAAGTTACTGGATTTAAACACAGCTGTATTGAAAAATACAGTAGAGTGTATTTCCTCATTTTTAGAGCTTTGAAGAGTGTTTCACACAGTTTATTATAGAATCTATAGAAGGTAATCTGCAAATAGACAAGAAATATGCAATAAAATACAATTGAGTAGAGCGGAATTTCTGCAAGATGTCGAGATTCAAGCTAATAAGTCTTCCAGTCCATCTTCTTATATTCTGTTCTCCCGTAAACAGTGGCTTCTTAATGCTTTGTAGCCTCTTAGAATCATATATCCATAGAGTATCTGAAGGGAAGGGTCCTGCAGGGATTATGGAGTCCAGCTCCTGGCTCCACACAACACCGCCCAAAATTCAAACCCTGTGTTTGTCTGGGAGCAGTGTCCAAACGCTCCTTGAACTCCAGCAGCTCAGCGCTGTGCCCACAGCCCATTAAGCTAAATTAGAATGAAGAAAGGTATGTCAGTTGCAGGCCATTCAGTATTCAAGTGGTGCTACTTTTTCCATTATATCTTTAGTGCTCTTTTCATGTTTGGATGCAGACTTCCTTTGCTTGTCTCCATATAGTCGTTGCTATACATTCTTATGTAATATGGTCTCACTAGTGTACTGGCTGATCTGCATTCAGTGGGTGAGCAACTACTTTTTGTCAAGTTTTTACCTTTATTTAATTCTTTCTCAAGTGTATACTGTGTGTGACCAAACGCTCCTAGGGACAGATTTATTAATTTCATCATGACTTTCCTCCTCATTCTAGTGTTTGAATGTTTACTAAGTATATTGTCATGGTGTGACTGTGAGAAGAGGAGGTGTTATTTCTCAGTTTTACAGAACTGGGGCACTTAGAAGTGAAAATTAGAAATGCTCACTAAGTTTGCCCTCAGGTTTGGTACCATAGGATGCTTTTTAAGAGTACTTGCTAAGAAGTACAGCTTTTTTGACTTCACAGTCAGTTGTGAATTATCAGTATTTGTCAAAATCAGAATCCGAGGTGCCTCATTCATCTCTCAGAAAATACAGGACATAAACTCACTGAGTTCATGAGAAAAACACAAGGATGTAGGCACTTGCCTGTTAACCTTTGCCTGTTCCCTGTGTTAATGGGAGGTTGCAAAATCCTTTCTAATGTTATTTTCAGATGCCTTACTAATGAGGCCTTTTTTTCCCTCTTCATTCTCCTGCTTTATTTACTGCAGTCCTTCACCTTCAATAAGATGTATGGGAAGGATTTATTTCAGCAATAGCAAGGCTACTGAACTGACTCTTGTTATTTTATGAATAAAGCATGGGTTTGTGTTTCAAAAAATTAGACCGTGCTATGCTGCTTGGTCTTAAGGGAAGACTTTAAGTAGTTCCTGTCTTTTCAGGGCTGGAATGCAGCTTTAATGCTCTCTCAGTGTGTTTTACTTTTATGCTCTGTTTTGGTGCTTTTTTTAGACTGGAGTCTTGCGCTCAATTGCAGCTCTTTTAGAGGACTGTTTTGTTGAGGTCACTGCCTGTTGTATCTTCTGCCATTTAGTGCTTTCTTTTCTTCCCTGGTAAGCTCTGCCATTTTCTTTTCCAGATGGCCATTATTTAGTGATTGCCCATTTGCACTTGCTGTCCCAGTGGTTCAAGATCTGAATCTCATTTCAGTCATTCCTAACTCATACCGCTAGACTTCTTCTCTTTTTCCTCCTTGTCTCATATGTAATGCATTTTCTTCTTCTAATTTACTTATGCAAGTTTAACAGATCATTATATCCCCATTGGATTCCCAGATGCCTTTCAGATCTGGCATCTCTTTCGTGTCTCACCGTCAGTTTCTGGTTGAGCTTTTGTAGCTTTGAGATGAAGAAAGTGATGGTTCCTCTGCTTTGTCTTACTTGTGATACTTGGTTCTTTCTTCCACATTTAAGACAACCTGCTTTCTTTCCCACACGTATTAGGAGTCAGCAGGTGGTATGTAAAAATACAAAAAAAAAAAAAAGAAGCAGGAGTCCTCAAACATTGTATGTTGGAATCTGCAGTGTGCTGGGAGAATATAAGGATTGCTGGATTAATTGGATCACAGTTTTGCAATTTTACTTTGAATCACGTTCAGTGCAAATAGATCCTTCAGAGAACTTTGATTCAAAGTTGAATTATCTGTGAAATGGTAACAGTCTCCCAGGCTCTGAAATCAGCCACGTTTGATCATTCCTTTTCCAGCAGGGCAGATCGAAAAACAACAACAGCAGCAGCCAAACTTCATGTACCTTAACCAAGAACGGAAGTGACGGATTCGTTTTCTCAACCAAACTGTTCAAAGAATTTCTTTCATGTGGAGTTTGAGTTTTAGCATTTTTTGTCATAGAACACGCTTTATTTTTTACTTAGCCACTCTGCCACATATTCTAATAATAGGTATATGGCAGTTTGTTAACAATGTGCTTGGTATTTGTGAGGATGTTTAGAAATCAAGGTAAGAAATCCGTTTATGTTGCTTTAATTTCTCCTAATGTTCAACAAAGTCGCTTATGGAGAATGAGTGGCATGTTCTGAATACTCTTCTGCTTTTTGTTTGTGTTAGCAAAAACTCGTGCTGCTGACTTACTGGTGAATCCACTGGACCCAAGAAATGCAGATAAAATTAGAGTTAAAATTGCTGACCTGGGAAATGCCTGCTGGGTGGTAAGTGTAACTCCATCAATTCGACTCTCTAGTCTTCACTATTTAGAACAGGCCTCTTTCTTGCTCATTTTTGCCATTAATGTGATTCTTTCTGTTTTAGCATAAGCACTTCACAGAAGACATCCAGACAAGACAATATAGATCCATAGAGGTTTTAATAGGAGCAGGTTACAGTACACCTGCTGATATCTGGAGTACAGCATGTATGGTAAGAACTATACAATATGTATACAATAAGTATTTTTCAAGAACAAAATCCTGAAAATAGTCATTTTCTGAGGGAAGGAATCTGATGAGAATGGTTCTGATATTTTGACACAAATGTAACACTATAAATTATAAACTATCAGATAGCATCTGATCACTGATCTCTTTTATTTCAGTATTTTAAGCACCTTTAATCAACAGGAAGTATTTTGGAGAAATGTTCTAGTTTTCATTTCAGGCATTTTAAACTGGCAGTTAAAAATATGTAAGCTTGGAGGGAAAGACAGGTATATTTTAAATGTCAAAATCTAATTGAAATTGTATGACTGCATATTTTGTCCCAATCTTAGACTATGCAATCCTGCCTTGTTTCCTTTTTCTTGCATAAAGTAATGAAAGCCTGAAATACTTCAAATTTTGCCAACTTCAGTGAAAGCATTCAACAGGTTAGGTTTGCAGATCACAGCTTTAGACTACTCTTGAAGGGAAGGAATTTATTCTATTGGAAAAAATATGTGGAAATGTTCTGTTCAATCTGTTTTAACGTGGTAAAACTGAAGTGATGTATTTTTTAAAAGCTTCAGAGTGTAGGAAGAATGAAAGCCTAATTGTTGCTCCTTCTGAAATGTTGATTCTGTTTGCAGTCTCACTTTCAGGACAAGTAAGCTGCATGCATTTTCTCATTAAAGATAGATTTGGAAGTACATTTAGAAGTACCTTTGTCTATTTAAAAAGTGAAAACTTATTCAAGTCATATTTTACAAATACATGTCTGAAAAGAGTAAGTGTGTGATGAGGAGAACACTTAAATACTAGACACAGTTTGCAGGCGTGGGTGATGAAAAGAATTGCAGAACTCAGAGAGGAGGAGGACTGAAAGGAACATAAAATCCTACAGATGTTATAAGCTCAGCAAGCCATGTGTTGGAAGTAACTAACTATAAGTAAATCTGCAAGTATGTATTCTCTGGAGTTCAGTACTAGTTTTTGTTTTAGTAGATGGAGAAGATCATCCATTTCTAAATTTACTCTTCCGTTTTGAGGCAAAATGCAGAATTTTGCTGTTACATTGAAAACAAAGCATAGAAGGTCTTCCCCAATTTTGATCCTGAATTCTTTATTTATTCTTCCCATAATTAACTGTAAGAGTACTATAGAAACTTTTCATTCCTTACATCTGATATTTTGCTAAGTTCTATTCTACTCGATACCTTGTTACAGTATTGAATGCTCTGTATTACTGTGCAGTCCTAAAGGTTGCACTGGTTCATCCTACATCCTGCTAATGATACTCGGTGGGAGTTGTAAAATACTTTCTTGTTCCTTTTAAATAGAGAAAATGGCTTCTGAAGGGTGGGATCTGTGACACGATATATGAGTTCTTATACTGCAAGATCTTTTACCTGATTTTAAGTATTTGTAGCAACCAGATGGGTTTTGAAAACACTGTACGGTATAAGGGGAGATGAAGAACGTGCAAGGAAGTATTGGGCTCATCCTACCCCTTCCATTTGCATTCACTTTCATGTTACATAAGCTCTATTGCTTTCTTCATGCAAATCCTTTTTAAGCTCAAGAAAATGAACCCAAAACCTAAAGAATCCCTCCCACTGATGGTGTCTTAATTCAGATTCATAATTATTAATGAAATTTCATTATTTTCATGGGAAAAAAATAATTCTGCTTTTTTTATATATATAAGGCTTAAATATAGTAAAGCATTTGAGACAGAAATCATGGAGTTCTCTTTGTCTTTTGCTACAGACATTGTATTTTTGCCCTTAAAAACAGTAGAAATACAGAAATCTTACATCACTGACATACAACTGTTGAATGCAGTTGTCTTCACTGTACAAGTGCAGTCATGTAAAAGATAGAGATCACCTCAAAAATTCATAGTTTAGAAACTCCTCAGGATCTGCTTTCATTCCTGTGTGGTTAGGAAATGGGTCACGGCAGTGTAAGTGCTCATCCTGTAGCAGAGGAAGCACCGTGGGAGGTTGGTATTAACTGTGCAGACCTTAATAGTCTTTCTGCAGAGAGTTTTTGACAGATTAAAAGCCAGAGGAACATGGCTGGTGTGGAAATGCAAACTCTTGATTAACTTATCTAGGCCATTTTTGGAAGTCATGATTTGATTCTCTCCAGTCCCTAAAGCATCCAAGAACTGAGGTTCTGAAGCGCTGTGATGCCATGACAGTCTCACTTGCTTCCTCAGGTTTGGATTCTTTGTTGTACTTGGGTGTGATTCAGAAAACATCCTTCTAGGTTTCTTTGCTCGTTTCCATATTTATGCCAGTTTATCCTGTAGTGTTTACACCTATGTTTTCAAAGGGGACTGTCTGCTGAAGCTGGAGGCGTTGTTTATTTTGCTCTGACTGACTGAAAATACAGCTCAGGTATTCTGTGAGCTGTGCTAAGACAGATTCAATGGAGAGGAAGGTGATTCTCCACCTCCTTGAATTCTTGCTTTGCATATATGACAGGTCCAGTGTTATTAAGAACAGTTTTGATGTCTGTCCTCTGTAAAATGAGTGATTCAGCAGTATTGCTGTTATTTTATTCTCTGCAAGCATCCATCCTATTTTACTTCATATGGATACATATATATATAAAAAATATGAAATATGATATCACTGAGCACACATAATGTCTGCCAACTCACCCCTGTGCTAACTGCATTTAGTATTTTCCCTTAATTGCTTTAAAGAAGGGAGGAGGGGCAGGTTGCTAAGGGCTAGCAATATGTTAACAAGAGACTGCGAATTTGAGCTTGTATTCAGGGTAATTCCTCTAATAATACCTCCCTGTCAGAATAGTATTGAATGCTTGTCTGGAAGGGGTGACATTTGGCTTTGCACTGGGAGGTGTGATACAATTACAGATCCTGTCCTTCGTTCTCATAGTGGTTTTGATATTGAATAAGCTTTCTTGTCTCAATTTATCTATTGAATGCTAACACACACCTTGCAGAAGTCTGTTCCTAATATGTGTGTATGAAGTAAGGTGAACGCAAAGTAAGACAGTATTTGAGCAAAGATGAGACATTAGGCTTTTAAAACAGTTGTTCAAAACTCTGAATCGTTGTTCTCTGAGCCTGAACAGAAAGTTGAAAATATTTTTGTCTCACAAGGACAGAATTGCATGGTAATGTGTCTGATAGATGTTTGCGTATCCAGGACCCTCAAATCAGAGATTTCTGACCATTGTCCTCACAGAGACCGATCCAGGTGAGCTCCTCACTCCTGTGTCTGCGTAGCTCTTTTTGACAGAAGACTTCCTGCTTCAAAGCCATGGGCAGGTTGTTCAAATTCCACAGCACGGCTACCAAACCCTCCTGGAAGGGCTGCTTCCCGAGCGGTCAGAGCACTGCACCAGTACAACTCGTGCATGAAGACTGCTTGCCTTGCAGAATAGAAGGGGATTTGCCATCTGCTATATATTCATTAGCGTGTTGGATACTCTGTTGAAAACACCTCGAGCTTTTCCTCTTGGTTTGTAGATTTTGTGAAGGACTATCTGAAGTGCATCGGGCCCAGGCTTCACATGGTGTCTTAACTTGATTTTGTGCTTTATGCTTTATTTCAGCCTGAGGTCTTTCCTTACCTTTTGCTTGTTAATGAAACAACCCCTTTCATTGGGATTAGCATTGATTATGCGAGTAGAACTACTGGCTTCTGTGTTGACTTGTACCTAAGGCACAAAGAATTATTGTCAAACACAGAGGTGTACCACAGACTCTGCAGCAAACTCTGTTTTTTCTAATGCCATCTGTTGAGTGGTTTTATTTGCTGTTTAGTAACAAGCATGAGGATGATGATGATGTTTTTAACAAAAGCCTCAAATTACGGTGCCCTGAGCATGCAAAGGGTCTGTGTTTATGTGTGCACAGCTTCTTTCACAATGCCCCCCTTAATCTGGCTGTTAGGACATGGTACGTTGTGTCTGCATGGAGTGCTGTCGTTGGCTGAGCTCTGCTCATATGGGTTGGCTTCATTGAGCCACCAACTCCATGATTTTGGTGCAGCATCCTAAGAGAGAGTGGAATTGTAGCATTTGTGTTATTATCTTTAGTGTGAATATGGTCAGAGATTGTCATCGGGATTAATTGTGCTGGAAATCTACATAAGAAGAGTCATGTAAGGACTCTACCTACCTGAATACCTTATGATGTAACTGAAGCAAGGTAAGAGAAGGAGAAATAACTCAGCACTAAAAACCCTGTAGTTCCCTTTCTTTTGGTGTTATGTCAGTGAATAAGCACCGCTGTGAGCCTGCAGCCTGTGGGCTGAATCTTCTAAATTTAGATGATTCACCGCGGCCCAGTTCTTGTACCCCAAACAAGAAAAGTACATTTTGAAACCTGATTTAGGGAAGGAAGGAAGGTATTCTCAGGCCAGTACCAGTCCTCTGCTCAGCTAATATGAATTTTTGAGTCCTAAGAAAAGAAAAAGGGAAAAGTGCAGGATGATGAGCAGCTTTGGAGGCTTAGAATCACTGCACGCGTGATGTGCTGTGGAGCTAATGGAGTTAGGTGCCAGTGGGGTTTTCAGGGCTGTGGCAGACAAGTTGGTTCCTTGTTCTCTGCTCAGCAAAAAATGATAAAAATGTAACTGAATTTTTTTTTCCACTTTGATGGACTGGGCCTGAATGATTGTTACAGCCATGTGCTGGACATCAGCACGTTTTGCAAAGGAAATTGCATGGTGCCCTTCTTTCACCAGCACGGCCTACTTACGTGGGATGCAGAACTGCTTTCATCCAAAGTGAGACACTGGGAATCTCTCCTCACAGTATATTCTGCAAAATCCTCCGTCCCCTCGCTGTACTAAATCCTATTTTAATTATGCCAACAAGGAAGAAGTACATTTCTCGTTTTCACCCCCAAAAAAGGATGAGGTCTGGAGCCAGGAGTGCCTTTGGCTGAACTGAAACTGCCCCTGGATCAGGCTGAATTTCTGCATTTGCTTTATTGAGAGGGTCACTTTCTGCAGAGCATAA